ATCCTGCTTGAAGGAGCCAAAGCATTAAGTGTCATGGATAATGTTGTACATGAAAATAGAATTTTCAACCTAACAGTTATAAAATCCCCCCTGTTCAAAAGAGATCTATTGTCTGATTTGAAAATAACTAACACCACTTTACACTTGAGAAATTAAGTCTAACATCTGTAGTTCATAGAAACAGGGAAGGTGTGGCATTCAAGAACAAACAATAGTCTGTAATAGAAATTTTAAAAAGCATAATAGGACTGTGAGGAGATAAAACTAAAGCACTTCATCTAAAAGATGGGGCTGGAACACACAGATAATCTATGTTCCACAAAGATTAATTTTGATACCAAGCAAAGCAAATAATGATTTATGCAGCCATGCAGGTGAAAAGATTTTACGTTCAACAAACTGGGGAGTGGGAATCCAGAGTTTTTAATGAAGAACTGGAGTAATATATTGAAATTTCCTGAACTCTATGAGATTGTAGACAACAGTATTTCGGAAAAGCAGTAAATTACTCATAATTTTCATGTCCAGTATTCAAAGATATAGGAAAATTAAAAGGTGAAAGAGTTCCTCGTGGGATGGCAATGTGAGGAAGAAAAAATATTTTTGATTAAAAAATAAAATCTTGAAGACAAAGTTGACATAGTTCAGAGAAAAGGACAGCCATATTCCTAAAAAGGACAACAGAGATAATAATCAGCCAACACTTGCCTAAGGAACATCTGGTGGAAGAAAACGAAAACAATTTTGTCCTTAAATAGAGTAGGTTGAAGAAAATCTGACACTGTACCAGTACAGCAACAAATCCAGACATATGGTGATCAACAAACAAAGTCACAAGCCCTACACTGACTTGCAAATAGATGTACAGAATGTTTTATAAAGGAGTGTGGTTCTGCTATGAACTATATGTGAGACCTACAGTGCTTTATAATGCTATTATGAACAGAAATAAGGTATAAAGCCAACATATATTAGATCATGCTCATTTCCTTACTAGAGTTATATTTAATTATCTTTCAGAGTAGCAGTCGTATTAGTCTGTATCCGCAAAAAGAACAGGAGTACTTGTGGCACCTTAGAGACTAACAAATTTATTATTATTTAATTATCTGTATTGTGAAGCACCCAAAGACCCCAGTTAGGCTGGGATTCCATTTTGCTAGAGGCTGTACAGTAACACACAATCCCGCCCCAAATTCTTTCACATGTTCCCCTCAAGGGTGAGGTGTTTAGTGTTTCCTGGAGAGGGCAGAGTCACCACGGGCTTCTTCCACCCACAGGCCATTTTCTCTACTTTTGGGGGGGGGGGGAGGAAGAGAAGGGGAGGGCAGGGAAAGGGGGTTGCTGCCCTTCACACTTCAGAGAGCACCTGAAGCTCCAATTGCTTGTAATGTTGTGGAAGAAACAGATATGGAGGACAGAAGAAGAAATACAGATAAATTAGGGATAGAAGGAGGAAGAGATATGGGTTTAAGCTTGTGGATGAAAGTCTTGCAAAGAGTTTGAGAAGTTGGGTTGTCAGAGACAGAACATGCAGAAAGAGAAGGAGGAAAGGAGAGGTTGCACTGCAATTATTTATTATGCCTGCCCTGGCCTTAATTTCCTTTTGTGTTTCTAGTTTGTTTTTTATTTTCTTTAGCTAAACCATATACAACTATTTCAGCAGAAATTCTCTTTTTTACACCTGCTATGAGGGATAACTTTCACATTCATTAGAGAATAAGAGCTAAAAATATAAATTAATTTCATCCTTTTAGCCAGTCCATAAAAGATTTTTGTCTGGCAACATGATCAGATGTGGGACCATTGAAATTACCAATATCCTGCACTGGATGCATTTAGAACTGTGAACTGTATCACAAAACAAACAAACAAACAGCTTTTATCTTAACCGATAGCCATGATATTGGGAAGTGATTAAGACTTTTACCAAACATAGTAGAAAGCCAAGTGATTAAACATACACATGCTGTCATCTTCCTGCTACCCAAATTTGTTTATGCAAAAGTGAACAGACTGTCACAGGAAGCCTATTTGTTAACAGCAGCTTTGCATGTCAAACTCAAACCTACATCCTTTCATGCTGGAAGCAAAATATCACTAAAACTTTCAGCTACATGCCAATTCCTTGAATTGCATCTGTAGTGTGTGGTAACTGAAATCCTCCAGTATGACTGATTTGTTTTTCAGCATGTTTGTATAAATCCTGTGTACACTGAAAATAACAACATGGTTTGGGTGTAATTATGTATATAAGATTATTGACACACACACAAATGGGTATCAGGACATTATAATGAAAGAGACTTTGTGACAAAAACAACTTTGAGTAGAGTTGGATTTAGGAATGGAGTGTTTGGATTTGGATTAGATATAGGATATCGTTAGAATCTGAGGCTGGATCAAGACTCGGGTCTGAATTTGGATTTTATACTGTTGCAATTTTGCAAGTTTCTTGGGACATTTCAGCTATATCAAAATGAACTAGGAAACAGGCCCCTGGATCATTCCGGATTCAACCCAGAAACCAAAAGATAGGGGTGAAGTTCAGATCTAGGGATTCAAACCCATACTGCTTTATCTGAAATTTGAAAGCGTTCAGATTCGAGAGATCCTGCTGTTGGCACCCTGTTCATTTATGAAGATTTAAAAATGGTCACAAGAAGATTGGTATGTTTCCATTTTCTCCCAGAGTCATTTGGGCCCGAGAGGAAGTACAAGCTTTAGAATCACTCTATAGTTTGGTGATTAGAGCATTCATCTGGGAGGTGGGAGACCAAGGATCCAGTCCCTCTGCTCCAATTACTATTTATTCAGAATCCAACAGCTTCACCAGGAGAGCTTGAGGGAGCTGCATACCAGAATATCCCACAGTCCAATGATTACAGCACTCACCTGAACAGATTCCAGTTCAAATCCCTTTTCCTCCTCAGGTGGAGAGGGGACTTCAGCTAGTAGTCCTCTATATCCCAGCTGAGTACCCTACCCACTGGGACCTGCCCCGCCTGCTCCACACCAGCTGTATTGTGTGAACTCACCCAAGGGGCCTGGATCCAGTAGGTTCTCTCTGAGCATGCTTACTGGATTGAGCCCTGCACACGACTTAGGCGGAAGAATGCCTATCTTCCCCTGGTTTGTGAATTACTCTGGGGCTTAGGCAGCAGATAGGTACCCAGGTGCCTACAGGAAGGCAGCATGCTCAGAGGCAGAAACATAGACCGCTAGGGAACTTTGAAAACTTAGGCATCAAGTGAGTTTAGGCACCTACAGGGTTCAGTGGGAGTTTTGTGCATTGCAGCAGTCCCAAAACAGAGACTTAGGTGCCTAGCTCCTTTTGTAAATTCAGGCCAAAGAGTCTTAACAGGGCAAGAGTGACCCCCACACTCTCCTAATGCAGCAAGACAGACCCCAAAAGGATCCTTCCACTTGTCCCTAAAAGACAGTCTTAGTAGATTCTAGAATTTGTCTGCAGCACGTGCCCCTTAATGCACAACACCTCAAAAGACAAGCTGGGGAACTTAAATGCAGAACGCTGCTAGACCCTAAAAACCACGGACTGAACAATGTCACTGGTTTTATGGCTCATGACAATTTGTAACACATCCTACTGCCTGCTAACCCTTAACTGCCCACTTCATTTTAAGTCGTCTCCTATAGCATGTATAAACCCTTTATGCTCAGCACTGTCTTACCTTGTATTTAGCTCAGACACTCTGGTTACCGTCCCCAGACCTGAAGAAGAGCTCTGTGTAAGCTTGAAAGACTCTCTCAGGAATGAGGCCCTGCAGCTGCACTTGCCCAGTTGTCAGGCAGCCAACAATTACAGCTAGCCCACAGCAGAACCACCTGATTGGTTATGGCAGTCAGGTGGCTTGCTCTTAAGCCCAGCAGCTGTGAGGATCAGCGGCTGCATAATGCACACACCCGCAGATTGTCTGCCTCCCTGTGCTCACCTTACTCCAAGCTCTGCTCCTGCTTACTCCTACACTGCTCCGGCCTAGACCCTGTCGTGCACCCACTCTTGTCCCAGCCTTGCTCCTGCCTCCCTTGACATGAGGTAATCTGGTTCTGACCCTTGGCCCTGGTTCTGACTCTGTCTCAACCCTTGGCGCTGGCATTTGGATTTTGACTCAGTTTTGACCTTTGGCTCCAGTCACCATCTCTGACTCTATTTTGGCTTTGTGCTCAGACATTCGGACTCCGAGCCCTAGACCTGATTCCTGCTCCAACCACTAGACTGCCTATGAGCCAGTCTCCTGCCACCTTGTCCCTTCCACCAACAGAAGCTGATTCAATAAAATATATTCCCTCACCAAACTTGTCTCTTACGCTAATGTTCTGGCATGTGTGAAGCATCTCTCTAACTTCACCTCATCTTGTACTGCCCACAAGAACCAGAAATCACTAACATGGTGATATATTTATAGAAGCAATTTTTGCTTCCAAAGGTGACAATAACAAAACTGACCATCTATTTTATATGTAATAAATTTTTAGTCAATCAGTGATGCATCAAATCCCATATTTGATAGCCCGATATTCTTTACCGTGGGAACTATGGTGATGTCTCAAAACACTAAGGGCCATATCCTGCTTGCCTTACTTATGGGAGTTGTTCCATTCAAGTCACTGGGACAGATCCTCAACTGGTGCAAACTGTCATAGCTCCACTGAAGTCATGTGGGACTACACAAACAAGGGTAGCAGGATTTGGCTCTAAATTAATCAGGCCAGAATAGCAGGCCGATTAGTAAGGAAAGTTCTTTCATGGACAAACAGATCGGTAATCAGAAAGTCTAATGGGATTTTTGTAATTGTTATGTTTGAAGTATGGTAGCTGTGGATCTTCAAGTTAATCAGGCAAAAGAGGACTAAGAATCTCAAAATGCTGTATTAAGTCAGCTTGTGTGTAAAACGGTACTTAGATTGCAAGAAATATTTTTGTAATATAGTTATATGTCTAAACAACTAAGTTCTCTTTATCACATAAGCTACTGTACCTGTATGACTCCGAATATGAACTCTTAATGTTCCGTTGCTTGCAAACTTCTGTCCACAATATGGGCAAATTTTCTCCTTTTCCCCTGTGTGTGTCTGGATGGGGAGGAAAGAGAAAAAAAAGTTAAGAAAAGAAGATTTTGCATAGCTTTAAAGAACTAGGATCCATAGAAGAGTCAATATACTTGACATTGACCATTTTTCTTTTGTTTTTTCTCTATTGTATTTCTTTTCTTCCAAGCTTATATTTCCTTCCACAGTCATTACATATTTGATTCCACACCATCAGGCAGAGATTCTAAAGAATTAATCATGGATGTCCTTATAGCTAAAGTTTCTAAATTAATCTCATTATTGATTGTAAAATAAACCCTGTTTATCAAATCTAACTACAGTTTCACTGAGTTTATAATTCCTTAAATAGTTTGGTTTATAAATGTTTGATTAATCTTTATGTGCTTTTGCAAATACCCAATTGGGGGCAGGGTATTTTCAATGCCAAATACTATTAACAGTACAAAACAGGAAACTGTGAATTGATTTCTTCAAGACACCACTAACCTCAATAAAATGAACCCACTGCTTAAAAGTTTGTGTTTTTGTCTAGTCCTATTTTATTACAAAATAGAATAGAGTTTGATTTGTCTTACAGATAATTTTTTCTCTAGGAAAAAGAACTGGAATTGGTGTTATGAAATTTCATTTGGAGAAAGGGTAGGAGAACTCTCTCCACAACTTCTGTTTCTAACTGGCTTATAATAATGAGAACTAATTGTAACATAATTTGGAGTAGAGTTTAAATATAACTCAACTAACATGGACAGTCCTTCAACATACAAAACTCTAATTCACTTCAATACATATGGATTGCAAGACTGGACCCTCTATATTTAATGCATGATAAATATTAGATTCATCCATTTATGGAAATTTCTGTAAAATATTTTTGTGCATATTGTACTTTGATAAGGAATCTACTCAAGTGTATATTTCAGGGTACACTTGTGTTAACTGGCAGCTTTGAAAGAGAAAAAGTCTGTTGCAAGGCAAGAATTGCTATAAACCAATTATGAACATCTGTGGGCACAATTTCAAATTCTATACAATTATTTTCATATGTATCTCCATTTTCAAGACAAACTATGATGTAAAGACTCTGTTCTTGTGGTATTTCCGGTTTGAACCAAATGATGCAATGCTGAAGATCTTATAAAAATCAGACTTTCTTGCGAGATGTTCAGGAACCCTAAAAAGTTGAGATAACCACCCAGACTGTTGGATACTTAGCATCTTTTGAGGTTAGACCATAGTTAGCTATTTTTTATTCAAAACACTTTCCATATAAAAATTGTAGTCTACATTTTGAATACTCAAAATTATTTGGACCACTATCAGCTGGCTTAAAAACAGCAAGAAAAATCCATTAATTTGGTATACATTTTGTGTAAAAAGATCAGCTCTATCATTTATGTATGTCACCTAAATTTACTTGAGTGACATACATAAATTAAGAAATCAGATCTGAAAAATACAGATTGCCACGTTTAGGCAATACTGTAGACAATAAATTATAGTTATTTGGAGTTATTTTTGTATGCAGTTATATTTTCAGACTGTGCTTCCTACTCCTAACAGTTATATTCCAGGTTTACCGAGATAAGAGTTAATATTTTTATTGTATAAATAAGAAAAATATTAGTTATGGTAAAGTCAAAAGGATATGTGCATGTGTGTACACACGTATAGTAAATTCCCTGTGGATAACCGAAGAGCACACTCCTCTCCTGGGAAAACTGCTTTCATCATCATTATCTGAAAGAGCAGCAAATTTCTTTAACTTCAGCTTTTCTGTATTTTATTATCAGATACGTTTTACCATGAAAACACTAACTTGTTTTCTTAAATTTAATGTAACTGATAATCTAATTAAGGTTATAAACTTCACTATCAGTCATACACAGATAGAACACATGACTTTCTCGAGGTCTCTTTGCCCCCCCCCCCATAATTTTATTCCTACAACGATTAAAAATTCAATTTCCATGTTTACTTTACTTATTAAAAGCCTTAGTGAGATATTTAATGTTGACATAGCTCATCTTATCAAATGCATCAGCATAGAAACACAGTAGAATCAAAAAGTTAAGACTGTACTTACGGGCCAATACCTTTACCTATCAACTATAAAAACCAATCTTGAGTGATATGCTGAGCATTTGTAACTTTCACTGACTTCAATGGGAACTAAGATCATTCAGAATTTTAGAGGTCGTGTTCACTACCTTTGTATAATTGGTCCTTTTATGACTAGAATGTCATACTGGTATATTGCACACTATTCTGAAGGAACAAAACTACCACCCTAAATACAAAGGTAACAGAAGGACCACTTTGCAGTGAAAGCTGTGGGCCTGGATTCTTGCAGATTTTCACATATTGCTCTGAGGCCCCAATTCAGGAAAGCATTTTAAGCATGTGCTTAAGTATGTGCTTAATGTTAATATGGATGTTTTCCTTAACTAGGGTCTAACAGTATAGCTCAAACTAACCTGGAAAAGATGCTCTCACGTTTGGTTCTAAACATTCTATGTTGCTGAAACTAACAGCACAGGTTGATTTACAGCAACTTATTCCACACGTAAGCACATTTACTTAATGTGACTACTCATGATGGAAGGTACTACTCAAAGACAGTAAGGATGTCAAAATCTGGCCCTTATTTAATTTTTTACTTTACCAATTATTGACGGTAACAATTAGTCATTTGAAGTTATTTGACTGTACTTGTGTCTAAACTGTGTATTTACTACTCATATCAGGAATATCTAGACAAAAATGTTTTCAGTACAAAAATAAAAGGTAACATCAAAATATTAATTTTGAAAAAGCAGAAAACATTCAATAAGCTCAAACTGATTCTCTTCCCACAATGAAAGGCTGAACCATTTGAACATATGTTTTGTTGGAATTAAAAGGGATTCCATCTAGCAGTTACAATGTGAGCATCACCATGTTACCTCACAAATAACCTGAACACTAGCCATCTCAGGGCTACCTCTAGCCTTCTTTTCTGAATAAAGATTTATCTGTCTACTGAATTGTATACACACAGGATGGTGTCTACCCATCTCTGGGGAGTTGTTTGAAAACATTAACATTCTTCATTTAGGATTACTGACTTTATTTCAAATGGGATAGCAGAGGTAAGATTACTAAACCGTTCATCCCACTGACAAATTCAGTTTTTAAAACTTTGCATTTAATTCTTCACAGGTCAGGAAATTAATTCTCATTTTGATTGAAAAATCCTCAGCCATTATAAAGTTATATATTCTTTATTCTTCAGTAAATACCTTAACTCACATGGTATGCATTATACTGTAGTCGAAGTTAAAGTAAATGGGATACAATTTCAAAATCCAACAAACACGCACTTTTCACTCCATGACGCCAGGGATATGAATGTTAAATCCATCTTGATTAGGATAAGGTTGTTTAGAAGTTTTATATATCTTTTATGGCAACATTGGGGGATTCCAGATAGACAACTACTAATTCAGTCCGAAGAACCAAAAATCACAGGATTCCCTAAAGCAATACATAACTTCCGCAGGAGTTCTTGGTTGCTCAAATAAATGGCCAGTCTTATTTGTAATAGCAGCACAAAATGGTAGTGGTTACAATAGAGAATGAACCAAAGGGACCAACGGGATAAAGGACAGGTACTTCTCGTTTTTTAAAATAAAAACTAGTTATCTGGTTAATTTTTAATTAAAAAAATATAAGGAATAAGTTTAAAGTCTGGTATTTATTTACACAGAACCTGTCAATAACTGAATTTGATATTTATGCTCCTCAGATCTTATGATTCATCCTTAGAAGGATCTCTCAACAAGGAAAAGAGAAAATTAATAGGAAAGCATTAAAAAAAACAAAAAACCCTGCAATCTGAATCTTAGATATACTATGGATCAATTCTCCATTCAAGTTTATGTGACTAACACACATGGATGAAAAGAAAAATAAAGAACAATAAGTCCCTTCATTGGGACTAACTTGGCTTCTTAGATCTAACTTCTTAGTGTCATCTGGGGTTAAAATGAGAGTATGTTTTTAAAATTATCTTAACAATAAAAACTGTTAAAATTATGGGTCACATGCCCTGAAGTTCTCACTCAGTCCTTACTGCAGCAAAACTCCATTGACTTCAAAGGAATATTTGCTGATGTGAGGAATAAGTAAAAACTTTAGAATTTGGATGTTTGACTCTTACACAATTTTCTATTTTATAATGCACAGAATACTTAGTGATAACAATAAGACAGACACTTTTTCATATCAACCAAGTTCTTCAGAAGGTAAAGGACTAGTTTGGATGGGGGGGGGGGGGATTTATAGTTAGGACAGCTGTTCTCTTTGGGGATATTGGGCCTTAAGGTCCTGGCTACATTGTAGAGTGATGTACAGCTGTCACAAGGACTTTATTCACCAGGTAACAGTTACAAAGTTATTATTAGAGATGGGCTTAAGTTTAGATCTAGATTCATATCTGAATTGCCTCCAAGTTCAAGGGGCTGTGGGAAGGCACTTTTAGACAAAGGGCTTATACCATGTCTAATTATTATGTAATCTCTCAAAATCTCATATGGTGTTTTTACTGGCTATCACTTGGTAGACCCTTCAGGATTTTCCCCTGCATAATTAGACCAACGTTGCACACACACACACACAGACACACACACACACACACACACACACAGACACACACACAAAAATCATCATCCAGTGACCTCGGTTTGACAATAGTATTTATATTTCTCAAATAAAGGATTTAATGTGCTTTTAAAACAAATGTTACATGCAAATTATGAGAAATATCTTTCATCAGACATCAATGCTGTAAATTTGTACCAACAGTTTTCATTACCGTTAATTGCACCCATAAAAGACACAATTACTTCAAACATCTGCATGAGCACAAGCTGGACAGATATCTCTCAGATTTGCACACAAAGCAACTGCGTTTTGCAACCACAAACTGTATCTTTTGAGGAGGGACATATGATTGTGCCCACAAAATTAGAAGCCATTTTTCA